TAAATCTAGACAATAATATGGATATTATAGCTCGAGTTAGGCTATTATTGTATGCAATCTTGTAGGACTATATAATGTTGAAAGTGGGCCAATAATATTATTTACCCATGAGTTTCAAGTGACATTTAGTAAGACATTGTGACTACCTAAATCATATGAAGATAAGTGATTTGATGTAACCTATCATACAATCATATCATACCCTTTTTGTCACACAATATTTTAGTCAAGTGTGAGACATGAAAACATCATCATCATTTTATTTGACTATTACTTTCTCGATATTTAAGTAGACTGACAAAAAGAAATGGAAAACTCTTCCATATATAGGAGTATATCTATGCAATTCTTAGTCTCACTCATCGAGGGGCCTGAATATATCTCTCTATTAATGTGAAAGAAAAATTTTATCTTGACCACTCATGTTTCTTTACATGAAATTCACTATGTAATGTCTACCTAACATTACCAAATTATCACACTTAATTCTTAAAAAGCAAATTAGAGATCCTTTAAACCTCTAAGATTTTCAAAATCATAATTATCAAAAATATTGATAACAAATACATTTAAATGATATGGGACTCTAAAACCTTTGTAAAATTGCTGAAAATTATTCAAATGTAAGTATTTATGCTTAATGGAAGCCTATAGGCTACATAAATACCATAAAGTGTGAAAACCAAACCAAAACAATTCATTTAAGCAATGTGGTCATATGCCATGGCATGTGACACATGTGCCATGACATGTGGTATAGAGCCATAAATTCATGCTCTATAACATGCATCGCGGCGTGTACACCATGTGCATGTTGCGACACATATATCAATAATATATAGAATAACTCATAACTAATCAATTAATAAGAATAACTGTGAACAAGTAAAACTCATATAAATATATATAAATATAAACACATATCCATTTTCATAAAACCAATTTCATTCACTAGCATGATCACTCTACCATCTGATCCTCTATATCAACTAAAGGCTCTACTAGACCAATCACACATGTACTAATTTAAGCACACTATTAGTGGTAGAATTACCCAGTTAAAGGTATTCTACCCCACTTTCAGACTATGGTTTCCCCCTATCACATGTAATCAGGGTGTCATTACTCTTACACCGCATCATATTAATGCTCAGGAGTCTAAATCTCCAACATCATATCTGTATGGGCACTTAGGAGAGAATATCCAACATCGTACCTAAATAGCTACTCAAGAGAAGAATTCTTGAACATTGCCATAATCAAGCACTCAGGAGAATATATGCCATATGGTTTTTTACTACTTCTCCCTACAGGTGAACTCTCACTCCTAATATGATCATGCTCACTTTTTTCATATATAATCCATATATCTATAACTAACCATATAAATAACTTTTTCAACTTTTAACTCTAAAAAACATTTTTCCATAAATGATTCATTACATAATTCCAATTAGTTTCAATATAAATCATGCAAGTTTCTTGAATTATTCTAGTGATTGAAAACACATACATTACATTATACAATTACTCATAAACAGTTAAACTAATTAATCAAATAAAATAAATTATTCAGTTACCTTAACTTTTCTGTCACTAAAAAGGTTACTTGTAGTATTCACTTAGTAACTTGCATTCATTACCTCAAGTCGCACACATAGTATGTCAACTTACACAAATTAGTACTGTTAGTCAATTGCCAAATTGACTAAAAGTATTAATTATCACTATTAACTACAATCAACCACTTACTTCCTTTCACTCAATTATACTAGGTCTCAATTACCCTCTTTAATCTTTTTATCACATCTGTAAACCCCGACATACCTTAGATCAAAATTCTCACCCTTTTTGATTTACCTATTTAGGTTAAATTAAGCTTATTACTTAAAAGCTTAATCATTAATTCCCAAACTAGTTACAAAACCTTCTTTTGATTCATAAAAATATTTTTACTACCAAAGTGTAAGAAATCAACCCCTTAAAACTCCCTAATACAATTTTTCTATAACCCAAACTAAGAAAGAATATGGTTTAAGAGCTTAGGGTGGTACAAAACTTATATGACAAGCAATAGGTCGAAAATATCCTCCAAAGATCTAAACTTCCTTGCCCTAGCAAAACTCATGCCCTCCTTCTCTCCTTCATGTCTCTTCCTCTCTTTTCCCAACTAGCTTTCAAATTGAGCCACATTTGAGATAACAAATTTCTATGTCATGTACCATAGCACGTGAAGTATATGTTGCAATGTTTGGCATATTGAATGAACTCTCACTACTACTCAGTTGCTTCATTCTGGAACACAATTCTTCCATCCAATCTTATCCATTCAAGAGTATAACAAGTCAAAATATTAAATCACCATCTAAAAATCCCAATCATCTAATGAATTCACTAATTTACTGATTTACCCTTAATTAGCAATTAGTTTCAAGATTAAGAATTTAGGATGTTACACACTATAGTTGATCACAACATTTATGATCACTTGATTAAAGGTGACTTTTTCCTATGTTAAAACCTAGTGTTCTTTATGTAGGAATCTATGATGATCTCAGGTCTGAAGGATTAGTGACATATATGAATAAGCTTTTAACCTAATATATAGAGCTATCTCATAACGAGTTGGTCCAGCATTCTATTCTCTAACAAATACCTATGATTTTGATTTGTATCTCCATAGATGATTAACACATAATCATGAAACAAAATCATAGTAGTCTTGCTTCATCATTGTTCCTATAAAGACGACTGATTAGGGAAGTGTAGGACAATCACTATGATTTATCCAAGGAAATAATTATCACAGTGAATATGCAAACAAAGTAATATTAAAGAGAAAACTTCTTAATAAAGCACAATGTTCACAATACAATGATTAGCTTATGGCACAATTTCAACCATGTTTTTCTATTGAAAGGAACATAACAATTTCTGGATCTAACATGCTTAGCTTATCCTAAAAATTTTCATGGATGACCTAATAAGATATGAAAATATTGTGTAGGGGTAACATCACATTGAACTTCATCTTCATAACTACCTAATTTTCAAGAAACTAGAACCTACTTAGACACCCTAAACACATCATCATCATACAAATAATATATATGGCTTGTGATGGTCAATGGTAGGGAAATATAATTTCTTAACTATTAGAATACTAACAATATTCCAACTAACATTACCATTAGTAGTCATATGACAATCTTTCTCTTTGATAAAGAAACAAGTATGGAACTCATCAATATCATTATAGAATGATAATCATCAATACATCCATGTCAAGAAAAAAATAGGATTTAGTAGAACAAGAGAGAAAGGGAACCTTACCACGCACCCCTTATTTGTATACACTCAAATAATATAAATAATCACTTATGCATCAATCAAAATTTGACTTTTCAATAATGAACACAATAGCCTTATACCACTCAAAACTCATTTTACGAATATCCAAAAGTGAAACAAAAATGAAAATCATGAAATAAAAAACAAACAATAGGAATCTTGAGAACCAAAATTGCAAGAAACAACAAGAAAGATGAAGAAACTCATAGACACAAAAGGGACGAAAATTGGAAGGTAGATAGGAAAGTGCTACCTCAAGAAGAAAAATAGGAATGTGAGTACTTGCAAGCAAGGCAAATGCAAAGATTAGGAAAGTAATCGAAATAGAAAAGTAACAAATAGGAAAGTGACCAAAATAGGAAGATAATTTTTTGACCATCCAAATTTAATAAATTTAAAACTTTATGTGACTTGGAGATAAAGGAACATTGAACCTGCAATCTTTCAATCAACACAATTTTTTTTCAATTTTCATTTTTTTCATCTTTTCTTAGCATACTAACATACCTTTTTTAAATACAACCACATCTTTTTTCTAATTTGGACAAATTTTGTATATTTTCTTTTTTTTATGCAAAAACAAACACAATAAAACAAACAAGTCAAAAAAATGGAGAATAGTGGTGGTGGTAAAAGATGGTCACAAGAGAAAAATCAAAAAATAGGAAAAAATGAAAATATGGTAAAGAAGAGACAAAGAGAATGAAATTGAGGAAGAATGGAGCAGAGGAAGAATTTTGAAAATCACAAAGAAGAAAGGACAAGAGAATTGAATCAACTTGCAAGCTTGGCTTTGATAGCAACTAATAAGAGGTAGAACCTGGGAAACACACAAGACAAAGGAAACAATTCAAAGAAATAAAATAAAGGAGAGAAAGAAAGAAAATAGAAGGGGGAAAAACAAAGGATAATGATCAAGGTTAGGATGACAACAATAAATGCCTATAGCAACCTTTACCTTTGAAGATATTATAAGAGTTTATCAGACTCTTGATCATGTCTATATTCATCCTAAGATTCTTACAAGCAAGCGTAGCTTGCAATAGAGTTTTAATAAACTCAAGAGACAATTCTCACTCATAACATTCCTAAAAAAATACATAAGATGGTAACTTATATATATATATATATATATATGAGAAAAAGAAAGAATACCCAAATGAACACCTTGAGCCAAAAAGGCTAGTTAAAGTTGGCGCCTTCTCTTGTAGATTTTAGAAAAGTTTCCTGAATCATGAAGATTTAGTAATAATGATGGAATTATTGACCTTATATGAAACATGTTGAAATATAAAATAGGAAACAATGCAAAGTCAAATCTAATAATAATAAATTAGGAAACTAAACAAACTTGCAATATGAGCCTAATTAATACTAGAATCATGCCATTAAGCCTTCATATCTTGTAAAAAACGTGCTCCTCATCAAATACCACATTTATCACATGCTAAATTAGAAATCTCCTTTGTTTTGATCAGTAGGATGCATGAGCTTAAGTCCTCACTAGACTAGGCTTCTTCTAACATGTTTTGCATCACTAATAGGCCCAAAATAAACTTTATTTTTTGATCCATTATGGCTTGGGTTTGACTTAACTTATAATCCATAATTAGGCCCTTATTTGATTGGTTTTTGGACTTATCTTCAAGGTACATGGGCTTTTTGCAAGGTTGGGCTTGCAACATATGGATCATCATAAAAGAAGGCTCCTTGAACACCTTGATGTCTTGGGCTCCTATTAATAGGCCTCCAAAACATGATAATGAATCCTCAAAAATACTAAGCTTGCACTTATAGATTTGGACCTTATTGAACACATGTAGACTTGCTTCTAAATTGATTTAAGCTCCTCTAAGCACACAAATGTCAACCCATAAGACCCCAGAATCTGATCTCAATGCCCCAGTTGCTTTAAGAAGACATGCACTATTCATAGCTTTTAAATTCAGCAACCCTAAACCCCCTACCTCCTTTGGCTGATACATACATTTCCAACTTACTAAATGCATTTTCCTTTCCTCGGTCTTATGGCCTCAAATAAAAGCTCTCTAAATATTTTCAAACTTATCATAAGTGGCTACAGGAAGCTGGGCAACCATCATCAGATATATTGGAATAAATCTAATAACAAACTTAGCTAAGGTAATTCTTCCTACCATACTTAAACATTTTGCTTTCTAACCTGATAGTCTTCTCTTTACTTTCTCTAATACAAAATCAAAACTCCTCTTCTTAGAACGCCCATAATTAATAGGCATTCTAAAGTATTTGCCAAATTCCTCAACTTCTTGAAACCTGGACATCTCAAATAAATCCTCTTTAACTTTTCTATCAGTATTATTTGGGAATAAAATAGTAGACTTCTCAAAACTAACTTTTTACCTTGACATACAACAAAAATCCTCCAAATACTCTAAAACACATCTCATTTGTGAAACTGTGGCCTCTCTAAAAAGTAACAAATCATTAGCAAACATTAAATGTGAAACTTCAGGTCCATCCCTTCCAACTTTAAAAGCTTTCCATTGCCCACTAACTCTAGCATCATTAATTCTATGACCCAATTTCTCCATAATCAAAACAAACAAATAAGGTGAGAGTGGATCACCTTGTCTAATTCCCCTAGAAGGAGAAAAGAACTCAAAGCAACATCCATTCCACAAAACACTTGTTGAGATAGACCACACACATTTCATAATAACCTCAATAAGAGTCTCACCAAAACCAGCTTCCTTTAACATATCTTCAATACATGACCACCTAACCCTATCATAGGCCTTTTTAATATCAATCTTAATGGCAAAGAAACTCTTCCTACTATGCAAAATTTCATGAGCAATAACTAAGTTCTCCTGAATGTGACAACCAGGTATAAAGCTAACTTGATTAGGAGAAACCAAGCAAATAAGTAAGTGCTTTAACCTATTAACAATCAACTTAGGAATACACTCGTAAATGACATTACATAGTCCAATTGGCCTCATCTGCCTCATACTTTCAGGTTTATCAACTTTAGGAATCAATGCCAAAAGAGTACTATTAATTCTACTCATATTATCATCCCCTGCATATATATTCCTCACCACCTTGCACACATCCTCTCCAATATCATTCCAGAATCTATGATAAAAAAGAGTAGGAAATCCATCACTACCAAGTGCTTTACATGCACCAATAGAGAACATAGCTCTCTTTATTTCATTATTTATAATAGGCCTCTCTAAAAAAAAGCCTTTTCTGATTAGAAATTCTGTCAAAAGTAGTCAGAGTAATAACAACTCTTTGTTGCTCCTCCTCATCTGAAAAGAGCTTCTTATAAAAATCTAATGCCATTCTACAGAGTTCTTCCTGATTGTCAACCTATTGCTTATAATCATTTTTCAACATTTTAACTCTATTCCTCCCAAGCCTTCTAATTACTTTTAAATGATAATATCTTGTGTTTCAGTCTCCATCCATAATCCATTAAGCCTGTGACTTTTGAAACCATAGAATCACTTCTTGCTTAAGGACATTAGAAAGTTCATCTTGTAGCTTTCTCTCAAGATTAAGGAGATGTTGATAAGGTCTAGCAAGACTACCAATCTTTCTTTAAACCCTATCCAAATGACGTAACAAACTCCTTTTTTTACCTTTAATATTTCTAAACACTTCCTTGTTCCATTTCTATAATTTATCCCTCATATTCATAAGACCCTCACAAGCATCTTCACCTTTTCTCCAACTCCTTCTGACAACCATTAAAATCATCATGAAATGTCCAGGCTGCCTCAAGTCTAAAAGGCCTTCCTCTTCGACAAATATCATTTTCAACTAAAGACACCAATAATGGATTATCATCAGAACAATCAATACGAGGCAAAATAGTAATACTAGCATCTTGAAATCAACTTCTCCAATTTGCATTACATAAATCTCGATCCAACCTTTCAAAGATACTTTCATATCCAGGAATTAAAGGGCCTCTCCAAGTAAATCTTTGACCATAACTTTGCACATCCATCAAGCAGCAGAGATCAATACACCTACTAAATCGGAGACATTTGGCCATGTTAACTTCAACCCCCTTTGCTTCTCTTCCACACCCTTAATATCATTCAAGTCTCCAATAACCAACCATTCCAGATTCATAGTCATGGAAATTCTCTCCATATCCTCCCAAAACTCATGTTTTGCTTCCTCTCATGGAAAGACATAAGCAATAGTAAGCATCCAAGGCCTCTCATTAGCAAACGACACCATTAAATGACAAAATTGAGGATTGTCCTTTACCACATTCACCTTTACAGCCATATCTTTCCAACCAATCCAAATACCCCTAACAAAACCACATCCCTCAATAGTAAAATACTCATAAAACCCAAGTTTTAGAAATAAAATACTGGCATTATTTCTACTAACTCTAGTTTCAACAAGAGCTAGCAAATCAATTTTCTTTTCATTAACAATCATCTGAACACCCCTTTCAAAACTCCTACTCCCTGCACCTCTGCAATTCCAGACAAAAAACTTTTTATCACTAATCATTAAAACAATAATTTAATCAATGGAAAGTTCTGCCTTAGATCCTTCAGCAACAACATTAACCTCATCATCATTTGTATTCATATCTATAGTCTAATAAGTTTCCATCCAAACTATATTATCAAGTGGTCTCATACCAATAGAACCCTCTAATTGTGCACATTTAGAGGGAATCATACTACTAACCACTATATTTTGATCAATCTCAGCTAAAGCAATTCTATTATGAATAGAATCAATAATATGACTTCCAAGAGAAACAATAGCATTTTCTTGGTCCTTCCTCAAAAGAGCTACAAGAATTTCTTTTTGAGAAATAGCTATAGCCACACGTTCCTGTCTTGATCTCCTTTCATCAACAGAGATTTGCTTTCCTCTAGAAATAGAACTATTAGCATACTAAATTAGCCCTTGTACAAACCAGTCTTCCTTAGCATCCTCTATCACAACCTTCTTCAAAGATCTTTGGGACTGCCTAACCTTAGTACTCTTGTTACTAACATTCATATCAACCCCATTAATAACTTCCACCTTATCACTCTGTTCCCTACCCTCTCCCTCATCCTCCTAATATAAACCTCTAAACCTAGATACATCAAGACCTCTTTGATCAACCCTCCTTCTACCAAATTCACCCCAGCTAGGTCTATTCTGTCTTCAAAAATCTCTATGTTGAACTAGTGATCAAGTTCTAAAAAATCTCTCCTTTTTTAGCTCAGCAATAGCTTCATCAACCACTGGGTCACAATAAGCTTGTCTATGACCATAATCCTTCTCAACATGACCAAATTTCCCACAATTAAAGTAGAGCAAATGCAAACCTTCATATTCAATTACAAAATCCTCCCCTTCTAAAAGAAATTTTGGCAGCAGAGCAGTATCAGTCAATTTGGACACATGCTCTTGCATATTTTCCTTTAGTTAACAGAGAAGTGGAAACATCAACCTTAACTATCTTCCCAATCCTATTACCAACAACTTCTAGAATATCCTCATCATAATATTCTAAAGGTAAATCAGGGAAATGAATCCAAACTAGTAATTAATCAATCATTATAGTAACAAGATCAAAGTTTAGAGTCCATTATCTAATCACCAAATAATGATCCATCATCATCCATGGACCACCCTTCACTACTCGATCAAAGTCATCAATATTTGAAAAACGAACCACAAAAAAATCATTCATCAGATCCATAATAGTGACTTCCCTATCTTTTGCCCACATTCTTGAAATAAACTCCTCCATCCTCTTAAGACCAGCTCTAAAACCAATCAGCTTAACCACAAGAGTGTGCTCAAAAGGTTTTCGGATATGCTCCTTCTCCTCCTTAGATAGAATAAATTCGGGGATAAGCCAATTACCTTTTTGATTCTCAACAATCTAAACTCCAACCTTTCGCTTCTCCTTGATTTCAGGTCCCTCGCTTTCAGCATTCCCTATTGAAACACCCTTTACCATCTGACTAAAGGATTTCTTGCCAAAGCCACCATTTCCAGAGCTATAAATCAACCTTGTATTTGTAAAATCCCCCTCATTAGTTGAAACGCCCTTGATTTTCTTTGTGCTCCACTAAAGAAGATCATCTTCTTCAAGAGATTTTCAACCATTGCCTAGCACAGGGAAGTCCGTCAACAAGAGCATTTTACAAGCCATTGATCAAGCATTTGTGATTTGGGAATGTACAGATATTCCAAACATATCTGGTGGCTATTGGATTGAGTATTGGCATGGCGAACTCATTTTATTATTCATACCATGCCTTGATAAGGAAAGACTTCAATTTACTTTTCATGTTGGAGATATTAATTTTAGGGAGAAGGGAAGAAAGTTAGAAACAAAGAAGTGTGGGTGGCGTGTAGCATGTGAAGAAGATGTTGAAGCATTGCGAAGAACAGGAAGTGAAGGAAGTAGTAGTAGTGATGATCCAGAAAGCTACCACAGTGTCAATGAAGATGATGTGGACATCCAATCACCTCTTCCAAAACGCCAACAATTGGGGTAAATGATTTAACTTATGCACATCAACATTTTTTCCCTTTTTTATGGATATCTTATACTTTTTTTTTTAAGTGCATATAGCACCAACAACGTTGACATCATTCACAGCTCAATCGCCTCTTACAAAATGCAAAAAAAATTAGAATGAATTTTTCAAGCTATGTAAGTTAGATCTTTTTTTTTTTCTTATCAAAATTTATGCTTTTATAATTTTTCTTGGAGTTATGGATACAAGGTGCTTTTATTTTAAAATATATAAACACTGAATATTTGATAATATTACATCCCATATAATTTTTGTTCTTTTTTATTTTAACAGATTCAAGTCCTACAAATGAAGGTTGAAGTCATAATTTGAAAAAAAAAAAAAAAACAAGAAGTAAAGTCCGCGCAATGACATTTGTTGAGAAAACTTGTATTATTAATTTTAAATAATTTGATCTTTATGATTATATTTTTGTTGATATTATGTTGCCCACGTGAGGGGCAATTTGTTTTCGTTAATAAAGATGATGTAGGCATCCAATCACCTCTCGCCAAATGCCAAAAATTGGAATAAATGATTCATCGTGTGCACATCAATATTATTTTTTATTACATATATAGCACGAGCAACATTGACATCATTCGCAGCTCGATTGCCTCTTACATCATATACATACATACATACATATATAGATATATATAAAATAATTGGAGGAAATAAGTGCAGTGGCATAAAAAAAACAACTTTCATAAATTATGAATAAAATTTTTGAATATTTTAAAATATTACCTATTCATAAAACTAATTAGATATATTTTACTTTTTTATTTTTAAATTAAATTTATTATTAAAACACAATATATTTATTATAACCAACCCTTAACTGAATGAATCATTCCTTTTTTTATATATAAAGTTGTTGGTGTTTTTTTTTCATTGCAAAGCTTTTCTTCTCTCTCCCTCTCTATTTTTTTCAGGAACACTATGAAAAGAACATTAGATATTGAAGAAGAATTTTCATTTATGGAAGCAGAAGGTTAGGCTTTATTCTATTATCTGTCATCAAATTTTCACCATCTTCACATCGCTTGATAATATTAATTTTTTTGCAGATTATGTTTGATTTATTTTGGACAAATAATTATGTATTTTTCGTATTACTAATCTGCGATACTACCTCATTGATATACATACATATATCAATGATAAACAAGTTTTTATTTGATTGTCTAATTATGTTGATCTATGATAGTATATTAGTGATATACAGCAATATATTAACAATATAGCATCACGAATCAGTAACATGAAAAGCACATAATCATTTGCCAAAAATAGATCAAATATAGTCCACAAAAATTTTTGGACTTTTAGTTTATCACAGAGAGTCAAATACCTAAACTAATAAAATAAAAAATCATAAATCTGTAGCTCCATTTCTCCACAACATGCTCCGTTCCATCAAGTATCGTTGATGCATCTCACCTTGCATTTGTCTCTTGTGATCGTTATCGTGGCTTACTCACAGAACTTTGTTGTCTCACATTTGTCTCTCTCGCATCTAGTTTCATCTTCTCTCTCACATTTATCTCTCTCATTTTAAAGATTTCTTGTTTTTTGAATCTTTTGGAAGAAGATATTAACAAAGCATTTTTTTTTGTAAATTAATTATAAACTAAATATTAAAAAGGTCATTTTTGAAATTTATAAAAGGATAGGCCATTTCTTTTACTTGATCTTATGATGTGGGCTATATGTATAAAAGCCCCAAATAATTAATAATATCTCAAGAAAAGATGGATTAAGCCGTAATAAATCCATGCCCAATGACAGCAATCGTTGTTCAGGAAATTGTATTAGTAATCTCTACAATTTCACATAATTTTTATTCGATCTTTATAATATAGAATTTAAATACTTTATAATTCAAACTTTATTATTATATTTTTTCAATATATTGCTACATATGTGAAAATATTTAGCTATACTTATAAAACTCAACAAAAATATTGATGCATGCTATCAACATGGACCTATGTTTTCTTAAAAAAAAAAAAATTGTAAACGGTGAATGTACAACTATAAACTTTTAAACTCATTTGTTAATTTGATCTATCATATGTGCTAGCCATAACAAAATTTTATGCAATTCAAATATAATTAAAAGTGAAGTACTTCTATTTCTGTTAATCATGCGCTATTTAATTGATGATTCGCCAATCATAACTACCCACAATGAAGTCCCTCCCCCCCCCCCCCCCTTGTATGTTTCTCTTTGTGAGGCTTCTTTGTGACCAAAAGGTTCTTTGAACTGATGATAGTGATTGGAGCTTCGATTTTTTTTTTGGTGAATTTGAAGCTTTTTTTTTTCTCCTTTTAACGTTCGGTGTGAATTTCAACCAAACAACAATAGAAGTTTCCTATTAATCGTTTGGTTTAACTGCGCCATTTTATGCTAAACTTTATTCTGAGGATTAACGTCTCATTACAATCAAAATGATTCAATGTGAGGCTTCAAGTATATGGTGTGATTTTTTTCCCCCTAATTAAATATGCTTTCAACTCGGCATTAGTAGAGAAATGGGTAATGAGATTGCATGTATGGGAGCTATCGTATATGACCAGAATATACTGGAGCATTTTAAAATATAAAAGTACTAATAACATATTTGGGAGCTTTTAAACACTGATACTCTCGTACATACCATTTTTTGTTTTCCTTTGTTTTTTAATGAGTGAGAACATTTATTTTGACAAACTCATTTAATAAATCTTTTTATTTTTTTAAAAAAGATGAATTTCAGGAATCATTTAAAAAAAACTCTTAAGATAGTTTTTCTTTATTTTTAAAATTGAAAATTATGGGAGCGTGTTTCAGTAAAATGTAGGGACCATCTATCTTGGAGCTTTATGAAGCTGTCTGTAGATAAAGGAGGTAATTCACGTGGATACACTACCAAAAGATATCCCAATATTTGACAGTTATTTTAACTAATATTTTATAGTATTTAACCATCAAGTAAGGGTGCATCATAATTTATAAATAATCATTTAATATATGCTTCCATATTTGCCTAGAAGGCAAATCTATCAGTAAATATTTGACTGTTATTTCAAAATAACTGTCAAGTATTTATGATATTTTTTTTTTTGAAGGGGGGTCGGCTTATAAAGATACACAAAATAAAACAAAATAGCTAGCTAACAATAAAAAATAATACAATCAATGTTTCTATTAAACTTGCTATCCAAGTACATTAAAATTCCTATATGAGACCTAAAACCCAAAACAAAAAACAATACTCATAGCTAAATTACAAACTAAATTTCTAAAACTAAGAAGTCTAAGACATAAAAATTGGCCAAAAAACAAAGTGAACACTGCTCACCACCAGGAATCACAAATGAGGTATAAAGATGACTTGGGTGAAAAAATAAACAAGTTAATATGTGTGCGTACACACATATATATAATTTAAATAATTAACCAAGCAATATTGAAAAATTACCTCATGTAAGCTAATCAAACTAGTGCTTGCCATATCATGGTTGAGGGTTTCATTTAAAATTTTATCTCAAATGACTTCAAACAATGGTTGATTGAATAGCCCATCATTAAAATTAATGATATCCCCAATTGGCACTTGATAAATCGTCCTCGTTCTAAAGCATAAGTCTCAAGAGAGTGACCAAATTTGTTATCTACAATAAGCACTGGTGTTGGATGCCATAAAGTCATGGCTGACTCTTTGGTTTGGCCCAACTCCTTGCCTTTTAGGTTGCTTTTCTCCCTTGGTTTCACAATAACAAAAATTAAACATATATATATTAAAAAATTCTAAACAATTATTTAAATTATATATACCATTTTTTATTGGCAATGAGTTCTTTGTCAACTATGGGTCCTTTGGTTGCTTTGGCAGTACTAGCATTATAAGGTGGCTAGATCATGCAATAAAGGTCCCCAACACATCTCCTACAGCTTACGCCTCATCAATAAGATAAGGCAATGGATAATTGGGGTCAATTGCAACAAGCAAACAAACCCTCATTGATAGGGAGGGGAAAGTTATGGATTATGTCCCTGACAATGTTGTACACATGTCTTGTTGCAACCACTTTGTGTGAAGGATTGTCTGCCAAACAGTTGCAGTCATTCTTACCCTAAACAAACAATGTTATTTTGTATGATAAAAAAAATAGTTAAGTGAATTCAAAAGATAAAATTTATTACCTTGAGTATTTTGTCTAAAGGGTCTATGTAGTTATCTTTCCTATTAGGGCTAATCTTAGCCAAAATACTCCCAAGGATCTGCCCCTTCAATAGCATGTCAATTATCTTTGCCTTGGCTTCTAGTTGCTCCTTCATAACAACTTGCTCTTATCTTAACTCTTGGACCTCGGATGAAGCTGGTGTTCACTTTTTATGTCCAGCCGCTCCTTCATGATGCTGAAGCTTATACCCTTGACACAACCATCGTGTTCAAGGGTCCCTAATGCCTTGGGCAAGATATCTTCATGATCAAGAAGCTTGCCTGTAAGACTTTCTAAGAGATGGAATCTTGTACAAAATAGATATAATTAGTATGCATTTTAATAATCAATTATTAATTGATAGATAATAATAATACTTATAATTTTTCTAGTAACCTCTTTTACACAAGGGTTGTTAATAATTCCATCTTTGTTTGTTCATGTCAATGCCCAAAGTCTATGGCAGGATATAATAATATCCTATGCCTCCACCTCTACTTGTTTATGCTCCACACCTGCATACCCCAACCTCTTTATTCTATAATGATATTTGTTCTTAGCCACTCTCTATTTATTCTAAGATCCTTGGCAAATAATAAAAAATTTCTATTAGAACACACACACACACATATATATACACAATCAATAAAAGTCACCAAAATTTAAATTTAAGAAATACTAATACCTTGAATTCCTTTTCATGCTGTGAGGTAACAAAAGCATCCCAATCCTCCTATTTTACCAAAGGCTATACAAGGGGAGGAACTTGAGCTACGAATTTAGCATCAAGATCTTTTAAATATTTTTATGCAATGCAATGTCTAAAAGATTGCAGTGCCCTCCTAAGCTTTTAAAGGACAAAGTCCTTTTTTCTCTCATCTATTTCAAATCTTGACTGCAAAATAAAATAAACATATCAGGTGCATCAATTTAAAAATAAAAATATAACAAAATATAACTTAGTAAGATGCAACTTACAGCCACAGTCTCCCAAACAATATCCTTCATAGCATGATCAACTTTGCCTTATGTTTTCAACGTGATGGGCAAAATAGTCTTTGCTACCACTCCAATATAACTTATGAACTTTAAAAATTTGATGGTTTGCCTTGTTTTGGTGCACAACTTTTTTTTTCCTACAACTCTTGGTTTTTTAACCTCTTCTATTATTGTCACACCCCACTAGATGTTATTATATTCCTGCTCCAATTTTTTTTTTAAGATAGAGCATCAGCAGAAGTTAGCATGATTTGATGGAGGGATTTTACTATATTAGAATCAGAAGCCATTTATCTACAACACAATTAATTCAAATATTAATCAACTTAAACAAAAATAACACAATTAATCCAAAGATTGCA